TTGGTCAAACTTGCTCAAATGAGACACTAAATGACCTCAGATGAAAAAACTCTGAATACCAAGTTTGATCATCTCAGCAAGATCTACAATTGTGAAGTCATAACATATTTCTTTAAATTCTTACATAGGGCACATGGACAGCACATGAAACCATCCCGCTTATTTGCCTCGACCACACCTAAGAAATAGTGCAAGCCCTCAATAAAGTCTTGAGAGCGGCGATTGGCATTGTACATCCAATGGCGTGACATAATCTATATTACACGACAAATTATGAAAACCTTGAACATAATTAAGTATTTTATTACACAACATAGATGACACACACACGGTTGATTAATTAACTAAGCCTGGCTACAACGTAAGCAATCCCAACTATCACTAAACAAACTAAAACTACAATGCACTTCAGTAACATAATTATTTCATGATCGTACGCAACTAAAACATACACTTTGACTCACATCGCGATCTGGGCACTTGTAGAAACACGACCCTTGTTGGGTCCCTGTCTCTTGACTCGGTACTCCATCACAATCTTCTGCTTACACTTGCCGCAGATAATGAGAGGGAGTTTTGGCCTCAGTCGTTTCGCAACCGAACGAGAGGCCGAGGATCCGTACCAGTTGTCATCTACTTTCTATACTTATTTTTGCAAACTACTGTAAATTTCACATTTTCTAAAATAATATATTTAAACAAAACTAAAATTATTTATTTATCTAACTAAACCATGAAATATGTACTATGTATAATAGTAAAATACCAAACTATCAAGTGATTTTACTATTGTAAATCATCATGTGATTTTGAGCTAAAAATGACATAGAAATCACATAGCTCAAAAACATGTTTCAATAAATAACCATCCGTACTAGTTGACATTGCTTACGTGATCATCTCGTGAGCATTTCTCCACCGGACGGCACTGCATTTCTGGCCAAGGAAGAGCTCGATTCTACGAGGAAGGAACACGGTCTTCCACGACCGCTGCCGCTCTCCCTCATAGAATCAAAGCTCCTCCTTGACGTCTGCTACCGCTTCGGCGAGAGAAAATGCTCGCCGAGATGATCACGGTCCGCAAGTTCAACTAGTACGGATTTTCTACAATTTTCTAACTATTTTCTAAGTTTTTCATTTCATGGAAAAAATTAATTCTAAGATCACGTAAGCCACCGGGGACGAGGATGGCGCGTGCTCCAGCGAGGACGAGCGAGGCGTGATTTTGATAAACTAATTTAACTTTTGTTTATCCAAATATATATGCAAATCATCATGTGATTTTGAGCAAAAAATGACATAGAAATCACATAGCTCAAAAACATGTTTCAATAAATAACCATCCGTACTAGTTGACCTTGCTTATGTGATCATCTCGGCGAGCATTTCTCCACCGGACGGCACCGTACTTGGCCAAGGAAGAGCTCCGATTCTACGAGGAAGGGAACACGGTCTTTCACGACCGTTGCCGCTCTCCCTCGTAGAATCAAAGCTCCTCCTTGACGTCCGTTACTGCTCGACAGAGAAAATGCTCGCCGAGATGATCACGGTCCGCAAGTTCAACTAGTACGGATTTTCTACAATTTTCATGGAAAAATTAATTCTAAGATCATGTAAGCCGTCGGGGACGAGGATGGCGCGTGCTCCAGCGAGGACGAGCGAGGCGTGATTTTGATGAACTAATTTAACTTTTGTTTATCCAAACATATATGCAAATCATCATGTGATTTTGAGCTAAAAATGACATATAAAATCATAATAAAGTCCAACATATAAAGTTACACATGCATCTACATCGCAAAATGAGATAAGCTACTGATAAAATATAAGAGGATTAAGTTTGTTACCTCCAAAATCGAAGAGCAACACCAATAGAAGGGGAGAGAGCAAGAACAACAGCAAGCTGAAGAACAGAGGCAGTGAGTTTGAATGGAATGGCTCGGGCTCGGGGAGAAAGAAATGAGCCGTTGTATAGGCCCGCATAATTAGTCCCGGTTAGGTGGCCAAACCGGGACTAAAGATTAATATTTATTCCCGGGGTATGACCCAAACCGGGACTAAAACCTTTAGTAAACCTTTAGTCCCGGTTGGTAATACCAGCCGGGACTAAAGATCCCTGCCACGCGAACGACCGTTGGGCAGGGACCTTTAGTCCCGGTTGGTATTACGAACCAGGACTAAAAGGTCCTTTAGTCCCGGTGGCAAAAAATGCCGAGGCTAATGCCAAATTGGGACATCGTTCTAAAGTCTGTTCTCTAGTAGTGACCTACCGCCACTGCCACGTCCTTCTCTAAGCATGCACTTGGCCGTCTTGGCCTATCACAGACCCTGTCCACCGGTTGTCTTCCCTTGTTCGCTTGGTAGGGCCCCCGCCACTACGTTCGCCGCCAGTCGAACCGCCTACATCGTCGTGCCGCTCACATTTCCTCAAGCTCCGTTGAAAGCTCTAGTTTGGTTTTAGTGAGTTGATGAAACCCTAAGTGCTAACCTAGTTCATCAAGTGATCATGAGATAGGTAGCACATTCTAAGTGGTGAAGCAAATGAAGATCATGACATGACGATGGTGTTGCCATAGTGATGATCAAGTGCTTGGACTTAGAAAAGAAGAAAGAAAAACAAAAGGCTCAAGGCAAAGGTATAAATGGTAGGAGCTATTTTATTTTGGTGATCAAGACACTTAGCGAGTGTGATCACATTTAGGTTCGATAATCGTACTATTAAGAGGGGTGAAACTCGTTTCAAAATATGATTATCAAAGTGTCACTAGATTCTCTAACTCATTGCATATGCATTTAGGATCTAGTGGAGTGCTAACATCCTTGAAAATATTTGTGAAAAATATGCTAACACACATGCACAAAGGTGATACACATTGCATTTAGCACTTGGGAGCAAGGGTAAGAAACTTCACCGGTGGAGTGTCCGTCTGTAGAGTGCGGACAGTCCGACGGTGCCACCGGCGTACTATACATAAAAGACAGGGTTTCACAGAGTGCACCGGACGCTGGTCTCAACTGGACCGGTGCGTTCGGTCAGTGAAAGCTATGAAGATGCTGACATCGGTCTTCGATCGGACGCTGGGTCACTTCATGACCGGACGCTGGTAGGGTGCATCCGGTCCTGCTGACGTGGCAGCGCACAGAGGAGACAGTGAGTGACCGGATGTTGGATGAGTCCGGTCGGACATGACCGGACGCGTTCGGTCATGAGTGGAGGCTTACTAGAAATGACCGGACACTGGGGTCCTGCGTCTGATCATGATCAAACTGACGCGTCCGGTCGCAGCTGGAACCTTATTGGAAGTGACCAAACGCTGGGGTTCTGCGTCCGGTCGTGGCACTGTGCTGCGTCCGGTCACCACTTGACCGTTGGAATCGGGCGCTCAGTATTTGAAGAGAGGGATGACGTGGTAGCCATCCGTTGACCAGACGCTGGCAGGGTGCGTCTGGTCGATATGACCGGAGCGTTCGGTTACCCCGAGCAGTGCCTAGTGAAGGGGTACAATGGCTCTATTTCATGGGGGCTTCTATTTAAGCCCCATTGCCGGCTCTAAGTCACTCTTTTGGCCATTTGCATTGACATAGCAACCTTGTGAGCTTAGCCAAAGTCCTTCCACTCATCTCCATCATTGATTCAATATCTTTATGAGATTGATAGTGAATCCAAGTGCATTGCTTGAGTGTTTGCATCTAGAGGCACTTGATGTTCATGTTTCGTTGCGGAATTCGCTTGTTACTCTTGGTGGTTGCCGCCACCTAGATGGCTTGGAGCAGCGAGGATCGTCGAGTGGAGGTTGGTAATTGTCTCCGGCTCCGATCGTGGTGATTGTGATGGGTTCTTGACTTTTCTTCGGCGGAGAGCCAAAAGGTACTTTAGTGAATTGCCCGTGACTTGTGTGATCCTCATCTTATGTTGGTTGTGCGGCACCCTATTGAGGGTTTGTCGTGTGATGCCAATTAGCGTGTGAACCTCTAAGTGAGTGAATCGTCACAATGAGGACTAGTTTGCCGACAAGCAAGTGAACCTCGGTAAAAAATCATCGTGTCAACATTTGATTCCGAGGTGATTGGTCTTCATTGGTATCTATTCTTGTGATTGATTGGTTCACTCCTCGACTCGGCGGTATAACCATCTTGCTCACTCTCTTTATATTACCCACAAACTAGTTATCAAAGCTCTTTAGTGTAGCTAGTTGTGAGAGTTTCTTAATTTGGTTAGTGTGGCTCTTTAGTTAGCCTTTGAGAGCACACTAACTCAGTATAGTGACATAGCTATTGTGTGGTTAGAAACTATAGAAACTAGAATTATGGTAGGTGGCTTGTATTTTTAGTAGGCTAGCGCAACACTTGCTTCGCCTTATAATTGTCTAACCAATTTGTTAAGTGTTGTTGTAGAATTTTTTAATAGACTATTCACCCTCCTCTCACCATTAGAACATTTCATCCGTTCTTCTAAGTCTGGAGACCTCGCTCCCCTAACTGGTACCAGATGAAGAAGAAGCGCTATTATCGTGCCTGCCTTCAATCCCAGATCAACGTGTGTCTGTGCGTCGGCACTCGTCGCGGTGCACGCGCGTTCAATAAGGATTTGGCCATCATCCTGCAGCTGTGCCTCTGCTTGCTAGATTGACATCCAACTTGACTACACATGGTTTCTTAATTGGGTAGTAAAATGGTGGGTCTTAAAACTCTCCATTTTTGTTACAAAGCAAAAAAATGAGTCGGCTGTTTGGGAAGAGCAAAGGGGAGGAGAAGATCCATTCGAAATACCATCGACGACCTCATGAATCACACGTTCACGAATCACGCAAGCTATTATATATTAGCACACAAGTGCTCACGACTTATTCCACGTAGTAAATAGTAGTAACAAACATTTCACATCTGCGCAGGTACCGAGGCGATCAAAGATATGATGATAATGGCATCATATATATGACATAACATAACCTGCATATGCCTGTTATTGGAGCTTGGAGTCGCATACTCGCATTATTCATTCAGCCGACGTAGTACATGGGGTCGGGCACCTTGAACGTGCGATCGCCCTCCGGTGCGCCGAGGAGGTCGCTCCACTGGTCGCCCATGTTGCCCACGATGCGATACCCGGCGTCCACCAGCTTCTGCCGCTCGCCGGACTTGTAGGGAACCACCGACGAGCCCAGGGACGACGGCCTGCAAGGCACGAACGAACACAGGTGACACAGGGCCGAGCGTGTTTTTCGCAGGGCATGTGATTTCGGCCTTGAAAGTGCATGGTCCTAGCGGTAGCACTGCGTATGGCCCATTAGGGCCCACCAGGAGAGAGAGCATGGGCCAAGTGGACGTAGTGGGGAACAAAAAAAAAACTTAGGTTTGTTCCTTCCTTTTTTTTCTTTTTCTTTTCCTTATAGTATTACCCTTGTGTGCCATGTTTCATCAGCAATCTACATTACAAAATCCCACAGTTTGTACACGTCCAATTTTTTTATATTTAATCTTTTGAAACATACTTTGTACGCTCATAAAAATTTGAATGGTTGCTCCTTCCCTTGTCTTCCCTAATCCCAATCGATTATCTCTCACTGTATAGCCACCGCCACCTCCTTGGATGCCACCTTTGCCGCCGGTGACCTCGCCGCGCACCATCCATAGCCGCCGCCCCGTCCTTCTCTAAGCTTGCACTTGGCCGTCCCCGTCGCTAACCCCATCCATCGGTTGTCTTTCTCTGTCCGCTTGGCGGCGCTCTCGTCGCCTCGCTTTCCGCCGGTCGAACTGCCTCCATCGTCAGGCTGGCCACGCTCCCCGAGCTCCATTCTTCTAAGGCCGGAGACCTCCCTCCCCTAACTGGAACCAAAGGAAGAAGAAGCGCTCTTGCTAGATGTCGTGCCTGCCTTCAATGCCGCATCTACGCGTGTCCGTGCGTCAGCACCCGTCGCGGTTCACGCGTGTTCAATAAGGATTTGGCCATCATCCTGCAGCTGGGCCTCTGCTTGCTAGATTGACAACCAGCTTGACTACATATGGTTTCTTAATTGGGTAGTAAAGTGGTGCCTCTTAAAACTGTCCATTTTCGTTACAAAAGAAAAAAAAAGAAATGAATCGGCCGTTTGGGAAGAGCAAAGGGGAGGAGAAGATCCATTTGAAATACCATTTGTTTGATGTCAACTATAATTCCCTTTTTTCTCCTAAAATTCGGCCACCCTACAATTTGCTTCACCCACTTGCATCTCGCCGATCGAGTAATGATTTCCGCCAATCTTGAAGTGTCTGATTTGATGGAAATATAGGCACGTGCGATGCATATATATATATATATATATATATATATATATATATATATATATATATATATATATATATATATATATGTATATGTATGTATGTATGTAGAAAATCCTTCTTTTTTATGGTGTACTGTATGTAATCCTAACCCACGAATTAGGTCCTGAGTTGAGCTGTCCGTTGGCCCAGAAATCTCCAGCCACTCATCCAGCATTAGTGTGGATAACTATCTTTCTGGCAGTACTGGAAGGAGTTTTTTTTTTTTTGACAAGAGGACAAGAGGCGCTGGGAGGGGGTTGGGATATGCGGCTGTTAAACGTTTACGTACTTGAGCACAAGCTTCTCCCAGGTGTGGTAGCCGGCGCTGCGGAGGTTCTTGATGGTGGCCTCCTTCTCGGTGTCGTGCCTGCCGGTGATGAACATCACCTTGGTGCCCAGCGACAGCAGCTTCTCGTACAGCTCCAGCACCTCCGGCAGCGCCGGCGCCGTCGCGTTCACCACGTACTCGTCGAAGTTGGTGGCGTTGTACGGCTGAGCCCTGCAAGTACGCACAAGCAAGCTCTCGTCATCGATCATGCCGTCGATTTGTTCACTGCAACTACCTGCAGAGACTCGCTCGGTCGCTCCGCGAACAAGCAAGCACCCACGTACCCGAAGCCGGTGTCGGCGTACACTAAAAAAAATCCCATTATACATGGCGATTTACTTTAGTCATAAACATACGAAAATACGTCACAGTTAACTCATGATGACAATCGCAAAAAACGTCATGTATCCCGCGTCATACATTTGTTAAACCGAAATAGACCATCACAGGATGGCTTTTTTATTCGTCATGGATGAACTGGTCGGCAACAATAGCAAAAGTCAATAGTGATGAAATGAACCGTCACGATTATGTTACACGTGGTTGCTACGTTGCCACGTCATCAATTGGCTGTTTGTGGCCCATGTGTTGTATAGTTTTTTAGTTTTAGTTAGACTCATATTGTAGCAGGAACTATTGGGCTAGCCCAATTGCACAATAGAATTGGCCCACTGTGGGCCATCAAAAATCAGCAGGCATTCAAATTTAAATTGCACGAACTTCAAATTTAAATTGCACCAAATTCAAATTGAAATTGACAAATTCACACCATTCATGTAGTCACAGATCATCACATATAAATATACCATCACATATAAATAGATATAGAGGTCACATAATCGCAGATTTGCAGATACATCTAAATATATGCCAACATAGTAACTATCAGTTATATAAGAAGTTTGGCACACCATAAGCTAGAACATGCATAAGACCTTACATCAGTTCATCAGTTCACAGAGCATGCATCGGTTCACAGAACTGCACAGGTCAAAGATCATGCATCAGTTCAAACAGAAGACCATGCATCCACCTGTTCACATACTAACATTACAAGAAGACAACTTACCAAAATGCATCCATCACCAAAAGAAGCATCCAACAGTATCGGTGCGCCAGCCGATAACCCAAGACAACCTTACTGATTTGCTTGACATCCCGGAATCATGGACATCAAAGTCCTGATCAGTGCATCAGTGTCAGCTTGCTTTTTCTTCAATTCCTCTTCTTGCTTAACCCTCGCTGTTTCTGATTCCTGGAATTTCTTCATTATTTCTTCCATTTGCTGTTGTTGAGTCTTGATAACCTCCCTAAGATCACTTGATGTTTGTTTCTTCACCACCAGTTCCTCTTCTAGGTCGCGCTCACTGACACAAGTACCTTTGCTTCTGAGCCCCACATTTATAAGAAATCTGTTCTTAGTTTTTTGAACAAGAGCCTCAGAGACCACATCAGTCACATCCTTTGGTTCAAGACCATCATCTACAGGTTCATTTAGCTTCTCCATTTCAACCTAGCAGTGGATGAGACATAGATAGCTCAATGATCATGACATATGAACCTAATGTATCATCTGGTTGTGAACTAAGTATGATTTTACTTACAATAAGAGATTGAACTACAGGAGCAAACCCTTTTTTTTGCTATAGTGGATCTCTTTAAATAGTTCCAGTGCATTTGGTGGTTCATTTACAGCCCCAAGTTTAGTATGTTGTGACATAATTTTGAAAACCAAGCAACCAGCAGTAGATTTTTGTTAACTATTACTAATCTATGTGGCATAGCTACATACAAAGCTCTCTTAAATATGTAGAGAAGAAAAGACCTGACAAACAAATGACAATACTTGGTATTCAACTTAAAGTTAGTTCATATACAGTATCTTGCAATTGAAGCTCAAACAACAAGTTCTAGTGAAAAGTGCGAGTGAGTTGTACTCATCAAATTTACAATCTACATTTCATAGCTGCGAGAACCAGTGGTCTGATGGAACTGCACTTTGCTTCTGTTCTCTCTATTCTTCTCACAAGTCACCTACAACAACACAGTTCTGTTGTTAAGCACATATGACATCAACATGATGAGATGGGGAATAGTTGGATGAACTTACTATTTTTTGCTTATTTTTCCAGTGTTCCACAAGTTTATCCCATTGCTCATCAGTCATTGAGATCACAGGAGATGTTTTGGGCACTAGATGTAGTGGCAAAGCATCAAAATACCTCTTTTTGAGCTTGTAGCGCTGCTGGCGAATAGCTTTCTTCATCATAGCCACACATGCTTTTTTCATAGGTGCTGCCTTTACATCCGTATGAAACTTTGTCTTGTAACAGTAAACAACATTGCCAAATGTTATCGAATACACAATGTTAGTGTTGGAAATAAACAGTGGAAAGAGGCAAGTTTGAACACTTACATCAACTCTGTCTATGTACCCCTTGATGATCTTAGGATGTTTCTTGTGCTCCTTCCAATGTGGAAATATCAGAACATGGTTCCTTACTGCAATGTTGCACTCCGTTGCAAATTTTGCAGCAATCATCACTGAGTTTGGTCTTTTCTTCCCCGGTTCAATAACCAAAGGAAGTTTGCCTTTCCTCGAGCGAGTCATTGAATCAAGTTCTCTCCCAATATTAGGTCCCCTCATCCAGTCCTCCACATCAAATGGGTCATCTACAAAGGATAAGCATAAACTTCTGAACTCTGATTAAAGAAATTCACCACTTGGTAATGCAGAAACAAAAGTAGTAACAGATACTAGTTAAATATTATCCTATCAACTTATGAAAATTAAAGTTGTTGATTTAACAATAATATCAAAACTGGTGTTCAAGACTGAGCCACTTTTCATTTTATTATGAACAATGTATGAAGTATAGAATTTGTCATGCACTGGTGACTAAATTGGTTGTCCATGAGTTATCTTAAGCATCAAAGTATCAACCAACCATAATAAATATCCTAATATAATCGACTAATTGAGCCTAGCAGTACCAGGCTGACTTGAGCGGAAAATAACTGTAGCTTGAACTGATGCTCATGTAGAGAAGCAAAGCATGCACAATTTGACTGCAAAGACAAGCTCGACTTGTGGTTCTTCTATGGTACTATGCACTTGCTGAACCATTGGGACAAGCTAAAACATGCGAAGAACAAATACCAAGAGCATGACACACCTTTAGAAACGTTGGCACCCTCTATTTCTCCATTTTCATTGACATCATTCATTGTGGCAGCTTCAGAGAGGTTCAGCTCAGTTTGTATATGATCATCTCCAGTCAGGCAGCCATTTTGCTCGCCTCCATCAGCTACAATGCAATATAGAATTAGTAATAGTACTTTGAAATGCTGGTTCTACAATTTGAGTTTAATTTGTTACAGGAATGTAGTCATTTAACCTTCCTCTGTAGGCTGATTGCATATTTTAGCTTGATTGGTCACTGCAGTAACATCAGCTGGATGATTCTTCTATGACCTTGTGAGAACACTAGGTTGCATCTCCGGTTGCGCCTTCTGAACACCTCTCTTGGTAACCTTTGTTGTTGTCGTCTTCTTCTACATAGAACCAATCAAATATACAGATTGAGAGATAAACATTAAATGCAATGAGCAAGCAATCCACATATTAAGATTTGACACTATGGAATAACTAGCACCTTATATGATAAACTAGCAAGTGTACACCCCAACTCCGTCTCCGGTTCTAGGCCATCATCACTTAGATGGCCATCACTGTTAGGCTCATCCTCACCATTGTACTCCAAATCAGAGTTTTCTGTTTCCTTCTGCTGCTGGATCTCTGAGGAAATCCTAGTGTTCGCAAAAAGTCTAGCTAGTATAGGAAGTCCTAGTTGCCGCATCTTTGCATTGTTGCGGAAACACTTTCTCATCCCTTGAAGTTCATAGTTAGTAAGCAGAGGATCTGCATTAAGAAGGAATAAACAGAAAATTAGGGACATATTTAAGCATCCAGTTCACATCAACAACTAGTTCACATCCAGACAGAAAACATTTTTAATATCCAGTTCACATCAGCAAGGCCACAAGCAGTAGTCCTTAATCTGTACAAGGATCCTCTGCTACTTGCTATATAGATCTTAATCTATACAAGGACATCTTATATTTATTTTCCCTTCACATAAATTTTTTTGGCACCCATCATATATACCAATCAGACAGAGCATATCTTTGGAAGAAAAAAGGAATCAAAGCAACCTTCCTCCGCACTTTGCTTCTTTCACATTTCACTACACCACCGAGTACTGCCTAAACTAAGAGGCAGCAAAGAAAACTAATAGCACTAAAAGATGGCAGCAGGAACAAGGATGTTAAGAAACACAGCACCACCCCACCAACCCTGAACCCACCATGGCAATCAGACTTTCTGAACCAAGAAACATAGGCATCTTAAACTCAGATAGGGTTCTAATCGCCTGCAGCCATTATCACTTAGATAGGGTTCATAGGAGCATATCTAGGTGACCCGATACTGTGTAAGCAAGATCACCGAAAATAAGGATGCAGGAGAGACACTTCATCTGCAAACTGGTTTCTCGTCCATGGCCTCTTCGCTGGTTTTCTGCCCCTCTTCTTCGGCGACATCGGCGTTTCTGTAGGTACTCTGGGAGAAGAGGAAGCGGTGGCTACGGGATGGTAGAGCAGCGGTGGCTGCGTGTCAGTGTTTCGAGTAAGCACCAGCTAGTAAATTTGTATATTGCGCGTCTAACCTGGATGGTGTGCTAAGAGGACACAAGGATTATACTGGTTCGGGCCAAATGTCCCTACGTCTAGTTTCGAGTTGCTAGTATTACTAGCACGTAGATTGTAGTCGGAGGTTACAAACTGGTGAGAGAGGGAGGAGCTCCCAAGTCTCTATGGTTCGATGTGCGATGCGATGTGTTTTGTTCGATGAATCGCCCCCTCAGTGGGATGCCCTGCTTTCCCATTTATAGGTCAAGGGAAAGCACAGGTTACAGCCGAATGGGAAGAGGAAAAAACAAAAAGAGAAATAGGGCTCCTGGGGTGTGTCATCCTCCTCTTTGCATGGGTCCCATTGACCTTGTAGATCGTGGTGGCAGCGGCGTCATACCGGGGTCCTGTTGGCCGCTGCTGCTTATGCGCAAGCTTCGTGCACCATTCTTGTCTTCCGTCCTAGCCGAGCGGGCGGGATG